CAGCTGACAATCTGGTGCGCCACGTGCATGTGCAAACTGTATCTAGGGAGTTCTAAAGGCCAGTGTCCCGTGTATGCCTTCTTGAACACGCCACACAGTAAATCTTGGGCGATTTACTTGGCATTCAACTTCCTACTGGTTCCAGGGATGGGAAATTCATTCCTCATCCAAACTGTCTCTCCTAGTTGCATAGCTTGGTTCATTCTTGATCTATTTGCTTTCTCCCTTGTCTCTCGTGACATTCTGGCAGACGTCTCTTTTATCAACCTATGAGCTTTCAACTTTTGACTACTCTCATTCTCTATTATAGTGTCATGATCGTGATGACGGCTAACCTGAAAACCTTAAGGATTCATATTACGCTCAAACGTCCACAAAACCTTCTGAGTCCCCCAGTGGAAACGTCCTCCGTTTTCTGTTGCCTAGATGACGTCATCAATAGGCCGTCTTTGTCTAAAGGGAACTTTGAATATAATCCGCGGATTTCGTAGCAAGACGTTGTATGTTGGGACCTGTTGCCATCCTACCCTTTGCAATCAATTTAATTTTGCTTTTGATAGCTCAGGCAGAGCATTGTTAGTGAAGATAATAGTAGGGAATGAAACTGAGTTCATAGTCTCAGTTTCAACGTCAGAGTGTACAGTAAATTAATTCATCGAAATAGAAGTAGGTGGACTCCCTGACCTATTTTGAGTGAGGGTGCCGCGGGCATTTCAACCGTTAGTAAGTGCTCGCCCCTTCACCCATACAGGTCCCTAACGCAGCCTAGGCCGTGTCTGTAGCGTGGATGTTGTATCCACTATGTCTGGGGAGATGTCCGAGGTCCAGTAGGATCAGTTACCTTCGTGAGACCCGACCGTCATACACTTCAGACTACCTATGGCCCCCATAGCTGGCTCGTCGGACCCTAACGCTCGGCCCGCGAGGTGACCCCGGATCACCAAGCCACATACCACTACCAGCCCCCATCATTGGTGGATGAGTGTCTAACTCAGTAGGGCTATTTGTGTGGTGGGGTTATTCCACTGGGATCTTCAGAGTTCGTTGGACAGTACCCCATGGTGGCAGGACCCCATGGCGGTTGCTTGAGTATCACTCCTGACGACTGAGTGTTGGAGTGGCAGTTGCCCCTGGTCTTAATGGTGCTAAGTTACTGTAAGAGTTTGTGTTATTGAGTATGTCCACCCAGTAGTGGTGTGAGTGTTATTGAGTATGTCCACCCAGTAGTGGTGTGAGTATGTTAAGCCTGAGGGCATAGTACCAGATTTCGTCTGTTGGTACATATATTCTTTCTCCTACCTCCATATTAATGTTTAAATAAATTTTGTATTTGTATATTGTGTCTATTATTTACCTACAGTATCTACCGTTATTTCTTCCCTATTACTTGATACTATCATTACATATACCCACGAGCCTCCTCTCATCACGCTACCAATGGTTATAAGTATTAGAGTAAAGAAAAATGTTATAAGAGGCACGGCCCTTATAGTTGTAAAGGATTTAACTCTAAATACAAGGGGGAGGAGCCATGTCGTCGGTTCTGTGAGTGTTCATTACAGTAGTCCAAATCGTCACCAATGGTAGAATAGGGGAGGGGGTTGGGGAATGCAGGGGAAGGTAATGTGATGGGATGGAATGTTTGATTGACATTAGTCTTGGGGTTGGGATGAAAGGAAGAGGTGGGGGAGGAGGAGTGGAGTGGGGGATGGTGGAGAGGGAGTGTGGAGAGAATAAGTAGTCAATTAATGTTTAGGTGTGGTAACCCACGATGCTCAAATTATGAGGTTTAATAGTTGGGTGGGTAGAGGCGGGGGGGAGGCTAAGCGCGGAGTTGGAACTCGTGAACGTATGTTGTTGTTTAATGCAAGTATGGAACATTACAGTATCTTCAAACGGTTTTCACGCTATTAATAGGCCTTATGTAATCCAACAATAAGGATTACAACAGCACACAGTATGGCTACAATTGGTAAGAAAATAAAATATAAATAAAATTTTTGCCCCGTAGATTTTCACAACCCACCTCACGCCTAAAGTACAATGTAAACCGAAAAATGCTTATATTATAAAAGATTTTCAACTCAATATCACATATTCTTTCCTCTACAAATATTTGCTGTCACTCATGGGACACCCTGCAATAATTATAAGGACGACATGGGCTATGCTGACAAATTTTGTGACTTACCTGTTGGTGACAACGATGGTAGGAATGAGATCGGCATGTTTCAGTGTTCGACATCACCTCCTTCCCTGGTGTGGGTGGTGCCAACCTTGGTAACAACTTGTGTATTCAACGTGACTACCATTACTGGTAGTACAGAGAATAATTACTGGTGTGCCCATCAGTCGCACTGTCGTCCATGAACAGCAGAGATATGGTCGTTGTAGTGCTTTTTTTACCTGTTACACATCTCACCATGCTTAATAATATTAACTATCTTCATGACATTCTTATTGTTATCAGTGATTGCGAGATTCACGATGTTATGCTCCACCTACACAGCCTGTTACTACTTCCCCACCTCCTCTATTCCACCCCCCACTACAGTGGGCGACATCTGTTGGCCGACCATAGCATTTCCCCCAGCTGTTTCGAAACTTCAGACTCAAGGCAATTCAAACCCTCACTGTGGCTTGGTAGTGGACACGACTTTGGTGCACGATAGTACAACAATATATAAATGCAAGCATTGCGAGTTTCTATTCTACCTCAAACCTGAGTGTTAGATATGTTACATGTATGTACGTTGTGAGGCCACTTAAAGAGAATTTGACAACCTGCCACAACAGTACGCTACACCAGCTCACTCGTAAAATACAACTTATTGGCAGACGATAGTAATCTATATGCCAGTCACTCAGACCTCCATTCCTTGATGAGAACTATGAACTGTGAATTTACTAAAGTCGGGAACTGGGTAATGTGTAATTAATTAACTGCCTGTAAAATACTGTACATATATATTTATACCATCATGTAATAAAAAAAAATTTTGTAACATTCTCATATGTATTTACTACGTGTACTAATCCAGATACTAAATGTTATATAATAATTCCTTGAGATAAATGTATAGTATAAAATCAGGTACCACATTTACTCCAAGGCACTGTACGTGTGAAGTAGTGGGGTGAGGCCTGACCATATAAATCATTATCAAATTGTATGTGTTTGAGCTTTATCAGTAATAGTAAATATCTCTCTAACCATTGCTATGTCAACTCAAAACTGTTACATGTAAGTGATGGAGCTAACAGTATGGCCATAAACTATACCTGATGCAATTCTCTCTCCTCGGGGGTAGCATACGAGTATATTGTATTCATCCGCCGAGTACAAGCAGCACTAAGCACTCACGACTCTAGTAGAGTCGTGAGTGTTTTAACGGGTATGTTTTGTTGTTGATTGTTGTAACAGATGTGTATCTTCGTATACTCACCTGTAGGATTTAAAAACTTTTGTTAATTTGTGTTTCTGCTGTATGGTTAATTTGAAGTAAAGGTTAAGAAATAACTCAATGGTTTGTCGTTCATTATTTTTCTCTCTATCAATGTACTTAATGATCTTTTTACCTTATTTTATTCGTCACATTATATTTTTTAAGCCTTTGCATTTAAATGTATTACTTTTTGATAATACAACAGTACTAATTTGATGCAATGTCTCTTAACAATGGTCTGAGACTTAAGTGAGGCCAATATTGCTGTTGTAATACATTTAATACACTCACAATTGCTTTACCGAGATAAGTAACTATGAATGGCTGTAAATACGTTTTCATAATATTTTTTTCACGTTATGCACTTCTTTTGTCACAATAAAGTTTAAATAATTTACTTGTCATCAAACAGTCATTTGTCAACGCCAGGTTGACAAACCTGCCGGCGTTAAGGCGACTCGCCCTGGCATGGTGTTACCCTGAGGTCATGAGAAGGTAATGTTCCCATTGGCTAAGACTTAAACCGTAAAAAGCAGCTTGTGATTGGTCAGGGAGTGTGGGCCGCCTGTATATAAGGCCTGGTAGACGAGCGTGAACACAGAACACTGGTGCACGACGGCGATACAACATTTGGTGTAGGTACTGTATGTGGTGGTGCTGTAGTGTTAAGCACTGCTCAATCTTGTATCGTAAAATATATTGGTTATAAGTTATTTGATTGTGAATATGAAGCCATACTATAAAATTTCATTTGAGCAAAATGATCAATTTTATTGGTGTTTGAATATAAACTAAACCTTTCAATCAACTTGTGTTAACCATTCCACCAGGCTAGAATTACGTCGGTCAACTTGATTTTTAATTGATTTTTAGAATCAGTCCGTTAGACAAAGGTGAGACCTTTACGGAGTGTTAGAGGGGTGTGGAGTGTTACAATGGAGTGTTAGAGGTGTGGGGAGTGTTACAATGGAGTGTTAGAGGGGTGTGGAGTGTTACAATGGAGTGTTAGAGGGATGTGGAGTGTTAGAGGGGTGTGGAGTGTTGCAATGGAGCGTTAGAGGGGTGTGGAGTGTTACATTGGAGTGTTAGAGGGGTGTGGAGTGTTGCAATGGAGTGTTAGGGGTGTGAGTGTTGCAGTGGGTTAGTGTGGAGTGTTACAATGGAGTGTTAGATGGGTGTGTGTTAGGGGGTGTGGAGTGTTACAATGAAGTGTTGGGGGTGAGGAGTGTTAGAGGTGGTGTGTTGGTGGGGTGTGGAGTGTTAGTGTTGTGGAGTGTTAGGGGTGTGGAGTGTTACAATGGAGTGTTAGAGGGGTGTGGAGTGTTGCAATGGAGTGTTAGAGGGGTGTGGAGTGTTGCAATGGAGTGTTAGAGGGGTGTGGAGTGTTACAATGGAGTGTTAGAGGGGTGTGGAGTGTTGCAATGGAGTGTTAGAGGGGTGTGGAGTGTTGCAATGGTGTGGAGTGTTAGAGGGGTGTGTGGAGTGTTAAGAGGGGTGTGTTGTGTTAGTCTATGACTATTTGGAATATTTTTCACGGATATAAAATGTAAAAAAGAACAAGAACATTATTTATTCAGCAGAAATTGGTTATAAAGGCTTCAATGGTGAACCATTATAACCTAATTTGTTACAATAGTTTCTTATGATTAATGCATTTTCCACTGGCATATTACCTGTAGAATTAATAAAGAATATGAAATGAATTATTTGGCTCCTTATGAGAGCATTCAATTCATACCAATTATTCTACAGATTATTGGACAAAGGTTTTTTTAAATACCAATCATTATTTCATGGTAAACATGCAATAATTTCAACATTATTTTTACTACTTATGAAATACCTTACTTCATATTATATATACCACATTTTGGTAGTGTGCCACAAGCATCCTTGAACCGCTTCTTATAAAAATTTGCTTTTATATCCATGCAACATATAATTCTTGCTTTGCAAGACTGGCATGATATTTACAAAGCTGATAAACTTGACTATATTTATCCCATATATTCATATTTGAATATTATACATGTGAAATGCAATGAAATAATTGTAACCTATAAAAACTTCTATATACATGATGAGTTGAGACAATGTCGGACCTGTACATGACAAACTTACGAGGAAAATATAATATATATACTAATATAATATATTATATTAAACCATATATTATATTATATATATTATATTATACAGTATATATTATGAGGCACTCCCATTCATAGTGATGAATCAATCAATGGAGCCCAAATTAGATTCTTGTTTATTCGTCATCCTTCAACAGAAGGTTCACGAATAAACCATGTATTGGGTAGAGAAAGCATCAGGCTTCCTGTTGAAACAAGAATCTGATTTGAGCGCCATTAGTTGATTCATCACTATCAATGGGAGAGCCTCACACACACACAAAAAATTATATATATATATATATATATATATATATATATATATATATATATATATATATATATATATATATATATATATATATATATATATATATATATATATATATATATATATTATATATATATATTGTACACTCTCATACACATTCACACTATGATATGCTTCTGAAACACTTAAAAAATAAAAAAATAAAAATCACAGCACTGTTCATTACCCTTCTCATAATCCCAACACTTTCCATGTAAACAAAATTGTTAATGTTGTCTATACAGAGATTGTGCCTTTAGAAACACAAGTTGTAAGCACTGGAGGCAATGAGAGAGTAACATAGACACTGATGACAACTTAATTCAAACTATTACACGTGACTCTCTAGTACAGGATATAGAGGGTTCAATGTTGCTTCCTGTACACTGAGACGACGGTGAATATTTTCTTTATCATCTATGTCACGAGGACGTACCAACTGCTGGGGTCTAGACAGGTCTGGTGAAGATGTCCTTATGCGTTCATGGGCTAGCCATGCTTCTAATGACCTGTCAGTGTTTAATCGTTCATCTGCCACTAAGGGTTGGAGGCGTTCCCACGCAGAGAGACGTGTGGAACGAGGAGTGTTCCTGGACACCTCGCCACTGTGCAACCATGCCCACTTGGCAAGGTCCTTGGTGCCACCCACAGTGTGCCGTCTCTTAATTGGTCCACGATACCCTGTTCGCCGCATGCTTGATTTGTTCGCTTTGTTACTATTATTATTTACATTACTATAATGGTTATTGGATGGTTTCATGGGACTAGTACTGGACTGACTGCTTGTATTTTGTTCAAATTTCTCCTTCAATTCTTTGACATTATGCCTTCTACTTCTAACCTCAGAAGTGCGTCTGGTAGAGCCTACCGAATTATCCTTTACTTCTGATTTTCTGGGTAGATCTCGGGACCTTTCTGTTCCATCTTGAATATCTGATCTTTTCATTTCCTTTGGCTTTTTCTCACTGAGACTTTCTTGTGTATCAGTTCGCTTTAGTTCACGAGCCCTTTTCTCAGTTTTTTCTTTGAGGTTGTTTTCAGTTTTCTCTGATTTTGTGAGGGAGTCTGACCTCTTCACCTTTACTTCTCGTGTCACTTCTTCATTCAATAATTTGTTGTCATTCTCTACATAGTTAACAGCCTGACTGGCAGCCTCTACCTGCAAATGACACCGACAATATTAACAGTACATAATATCAAGGACAGAATTATGGTTCGGAATATAATACAAAAACTGCAGGGAAAGTTTTAAGTACGAGGTACCATGACAAACAAGGGATAACATGGTACTACAGTACCTGGGCGATGGCTGGGGGGAGAGTAGTGTTGGCAGCAGTGGAGGTTGAGCTAGAGTTGGCAGAAGGACTGCGGGGATTAGTGCGGCGGCGATGAAGGGAAGGGTCACGGTAGAGACGGCACTCTGAATTCCCTCTTGTGGTACGGTCATGTGTTTGACCTGCCTCAGGGGATGGATCAGGGCTGGTGATGGGGTCGTCACTCACTGCCGTCACCAGACCCAGAGGAGACTCCTGGAGGCTCCGCATCTTCTCCTCAAACGTGGCAGTGATGGCACTTAGAAGATCACTACCTGTAATATACATAACCAGCATGAAGTGGGTGTTATTCATTAGATTAATTTATTTCATTAAAATTCAAAAAACTGAATGTTCTCCTCTACATTTCACGGGATAGTGAAATAAATTTTATTACCATGTATTAGAATGTCAGAACACACTCAAGTTGATCAAAATATCTTCAACAATCATGGTTTAGTGGTTAAATCCTTTCACTGATTTGAGAAAACATAGATGGAGGTAAAGACACCCATTAACTATAATCTACCGTGCTAGACATTACAAATATTCAAGGCTTAATGAAATATCAGCAATAATTCAGTATTAAGGTCACACACAAATTACCAATTATAACTAAGACACGACTGCTACCACAGCACACTTAACAGCAAGAGTGAAGCAGCTCTACTTCTACTCTCACCTTCCTTGCCTACACTTTAGCATACTGAATATTAGCGAAGAGGCCCTTGGCTGCCCCCATGATCGAGGACTTCGCAACATGTGGTGGCTTTTCTACCACTACTGTTGAAAGTTCACATGGGGCTGGAAAGGCGATTTAAACAAAAAGCATCTGAGTTTCTTTTAAGTTACAATTATAACCGTATCTCAACTGATCAAAATTTCCAATGTACTACAATGAACTCTGGTCTCTGAATAAGAAAAAAGTTACCTGTACTAAAACAACTCTTTTAAATAATAATAGACTAAAAAGAAAAAAATGAGAATCACACCAACAGTGACAGGAAAAATGGCCCAGTCAAATTTACCTATTTTACTACATGGGGCATGAGCAATGAGGCAATAAATACTGAAAACATAGCAAAGTTTAGCAGTATAAGATTGTTGCAACTTAAAAGCGAGCTTTGGACTGAAAGCATGATATGCAAAAATTAAAGATTCAAGTAAAATCCAGACCTCTTGTGCTTCTTTCACTATTTATTGAACAAATTTTCAACAGAAAGATGGAGGCACTTAAGAAAGATAGGAACATGAAGCAGACCTGAATGGCAGCAGTGTGAGAAAAGAGAGAAAGAAAGACAGTCCATTATCTAATGAATATTTTATATGAGCATATATTATTTTTTCATGAGAATGTCCATTATAACAATATTTCAATATACAAAATTAAACTAGGTAATACTATAATGAATGCCATATCAAAGAATTGTTAATATTCTTAAAAAAATGGTAGATTATTATGAACAAGCAAAATATTTCACTGAAATGTCATGTAAAGTGAGTGCATGACTTTATACTCTGGTTTCAAATATTAAAATTTCCTCTTTAACTGCAGGATACTCCATGCAAAATGTCTCCATACATCTCCATTACTGGACATTTCACTGCAACCTTTCCTCACATAGACATGTACTAAATTATACTTCTGTTATGTCAGTAATAGTACATGCTATAAAATTATGTACAGTACTGTACTGTGTAGCAATATACATTACATAGATTAAATATAATGGAAATGTTTTTAAAGTTTATACGTACTGTATTATCATTTTTAAGTAAGGTTATGTAAAGAACGGGGCAAATAAGGGTTTGGTTTACCTCGGGTCTGATCAAGTTATGGACAGAGAGAACTGCTAGTACAGTATGGTCAGGATATATCGCGAGATTGGGTCCAACGATGTTCACTATACAAGTATACTAAATCGCGATATGTAATTACATGTACAGTGGTCCCTCGGTTAACGAGCGCCTCGGTTAACGAGATTTCGGTTTACGAGTTACCTCCCATAAAATTCTTAACTTCGGTTAACGGGCAACCCCTCGGTTAACGAGTTTCTTACGAGCCAACCTCGACAAGTTTTGGCTTGCACTTGGCGGTCAACCAGCTTTAGCATTAGTCAGCCAATACATTAATCGGTTCTAGGGCTTAAATTGCTTACTATTTTAGTAAATATCAAGAATACTATTCAATAATTTTAAAAGTATAATATTAAATTTTTTAGTAATTTTAACAATTATTGAACATAATTGAAGGTAAAGTGACTAGTTTAATGCGAGGCATCCAGCCTCTTAACACAGCAAAAAAGCATTAGTCTCTCTCTGTTTTCACTGGAGGTAACATCTTGCTTGAGACTCTTGAACTAAATGCTTTTTTTTTGTGTTTCCAAGCAAATTATTGGTCATTTGGAAATTTATTTTACATATTGACAATATATAGCACAGTGCAGTGTTATTTTAAAGAAAATATTCTTTATTTACAACAAGTTTAACTTTAAAAAACACGTGTTGACATTGTTTGAATCCAGCATGGGGCCTAAGAGATCAAGAAAAGTGATTTCAATCCAAACCAAGCAGGAAATCATAAAAAAAAACATGAACAAGGCATTAGAACAAATGCGCGATGCAAAGAATATGGCATGTCGACATCGACTGTGTCGACAATTCTTGCAAAGAAAGACAAATTTAAAGAAGTGAAAGTGAGAGACAAATCTACAAGAGTGTTTAAAAGTAGATCCCTAATTGCAGAAACTGAGAGGTTACTTATCATCTGGATTAGGGAAAAACAGATGAAAGGTGATTCAGTTTCTACTGAATTCATTTGTGAAAGAGCCAGGGAGATTTACGAACATTTAAAGACAGATCAACCTGGTTCTTTAGGCACAGAATTTGAAGATTTTCAGGCCAGCAAAGGCTGGTTCGAAAAATTTATGAAAAGAAGTGACATTTTCAGTGTTGTTAGGCATGGTGAAGCTGCTAGTGCTGATAAGGAAGGGGCAGCAAAGTTTTTAGTTGAATTTAAAGAACTGGTGGAAGAAGAAAATTATCTTCCACAGCAAGTGTTCAATGTGGACGAAACTGGGCTGTTCTGGAAAAAGATGCTCAAAAGAACATTCATCACCAGAGATGAAGCCTCTTTACCTGGGCATAAACCCATGAAAGACCGTCTCACTCTATTGCTTGGTGCCAATGCTTCAGGGGATTTCCGACTGAAGCCTATGCTTGTCTACCACTCTGAAAACCCCAGGGTGTTCAAGTAACAGAAAGTGGTAAGAACAAAGCTTGGAGTTTATTGGAAGTCCAACCGTAAGGCATGGGTGACAAGACAGCTCTTTAATGAATGGGCTGTTGATGTGTTTTGCCCTTCTGTCAAGAGCTACCTAACCACCAATAAACTCCCTTTAAAGGCTCTTCTCCTCATGGATAATGCTCCTGGTCATGACCCTAACCTTGCCAGAAATTTGGAGTATCAATTTGACTTTGTGAAAGTGTTGTTTTTGCCTCCAAACACTACATCAATCATACAGCCAATGGACCAGAATGTGATCAGCAACTTCAAGAAGTTGTAAATGAAGAAAATGTTTAGGAGGTGTCATCAGGCAACTTCCAATGATCCTGAACTAACAGTGAAACAGTTCTGGAAGACACAATTCAACATCCTGGAGGCTGTAAAATTGATTGTGTTATCATGGCAAGAAGTCTCCACTAGATCCCTCAATTCTTCATGGAAAGCACTGTGGCCATCAGTAGTCCATGATTTTGAGGGATTTGAGGAAGAAACAGAGTTGGACCAGGAGATTGTGTCCATTGGTCAGTCATTGGGCCTTGAAGTGGAGGAGGAGGATGTGGAAGAGCTTGTGATGTCTTATGAGGAGGAACTTACTCCTGATGACTTGAAGCAACTGGATGAGATGTTACAGGTAGAGGCTGACAGTGGTGAGGAGGAAATTGAAAATGACATGTCAGCTGAACAGTTGAAAGATGTGATTTACTACTGGGAGAAGTTCAGGGAACTGGCTTCAAAGCACCCAGAAGTGGAAAAACTGAACTAACTTTGTGTCATGTTGAGGACTCAGTGGTCTCCTTCTTTAAACATAAGTTAATGGTGAGGAGGAGAGATGCCCCACAGACCACAATTGACACTTTCTTCAGTAAAAGGCAGAGGGAACAAGATGCTATCCCTCAGCCTTCCACTTCAAGAGAGAGGATGATGCTAGCCCTCAGCCTTCCACTTCAAGAAGGAGAGAGGATGTTCATGGTGGAGAAAATGTCAGTCCAGAGGTTCCTGACATTTTCATGGAAGGTGACTCACCTTCCAAGAAGCAGTAAAATGCTTCTCCTCCACCTCCACTTCCTTCTCTTCTCCCTTCTCCTCCTCCACCTCCCACTTCAAATTCACATCATCATCATCAACCAGGAGCCTTCTACATACACACCTCAAGGTAAGTGTCCATTTCTAAAATTTTTGTTGAATTTAGGCAATTTTGGGTGAGCTGGAACCAATTACCCAAAAACCCATTGAAACAATGGTTTCGGTTAACGAGCAACCTGCTGGAACGGATTGTGCTCGTTAACCGAGGGACCACTGTAATCAATGGGGAAAATAGGGTTAGGTTTTGGAGGCCCCAAAAAGTGACTAAACTTGACTTAACGAGTTAATTTTCTTACTAACTAAAGCACCAATGAACACTAGACTCGGGAACAACGGGCTATTTCAATATCAATATCAAGGAACACCAGACTCCACACTGCCACCCTCACTTGACAATCCCACACCTACATAAACGATACCAAAAATATTCGTTACAGTATAAAATCTTTTCCATTATCTTCACTTCCCTTTTTACGTCACTGCCGGCGACTTCAAGCTGAAGCCTATGCTGATTTCTCGTGCTGCTAACCCACTGGCCCTGAAAAGTTACTCTAACGATCACCTTCCTGTCATTTACAAGGCAAACAAGAAGGCATGGATAACCAGCACCATATTTAGCCAGTGCTTGAACGTGTACGCCGTCCCTGCAATGAAGGAATACTGTGCCAAGGAGAACCTAAACTTCAAAATTTTTCTCATCCTTGACAATGCTCCAGCTCGTCCTCCCAATCTCGATGACTTGCATGAGGTTGTAAAAGTTGTATTCCTGCCTCTTAACACGACAGCACCGACGCAGCCTATGGACCAAGGCGCCACTGCCGCATTCAAGGCGTATTATTTACACCGTGCCATGACCCAGCTGCTCAAGGCTACAGACGGAGATAATAAACCAACGATCCGAGAATA